TAATTATGTGTGACAAAAACAAAAATTCAATAATGAAATACAAATAAAAATTAGAAAATTTGCATATAATAACATCATAACCTAAATAAACATTATGAAATAAAGACGATTTAAGTAAGTTCCAGAAAGTAGGACTATAAAGTTACTTAGATTAATAACAGTAAGACTAAAGAATCATTTCTGTTTGTATCAGCAGTGTAGGACAAAAAAATTACTCACTCGGATTTTAAATAAAACTATTGAAGTTATTTATTTCCTCGCTGTATAATAATGAGAGTTAATGTATGTCGAGCGAGAATAGAGTATTTATTAGATTTTTTTTTACAGATAGGCGAGTGTACACTGTGAAAAAATGGGCATCTTAAAGAATCATGCATGTTTTTATGGAATATATTGAAATTTTGAAGATTTCATTGATTCATAAATACACCATTAATGGTTTTGCATAGTTTACAGAACCTAAAGAATAAAAAAACGGTTCTAAATGTTTACAATAGTTCTATATGAGTTCCTTTATTTTTATGTTGAACCATCTTTTACGAAGATGCTTCAGTAGTAAACCATTTGAAGCTAGATCGATTATTTTTGAATACGACCTGACTAGCATAAATTTGAAATACTTAGGTCATTCCAAAAGTAATGAGAGTAACGCTTTAATATCTTCTAGTAAAGTGAATGAGAGTTTCTTTTCGTATGAAACGATAGAGAAAAAAAAACGCTCTATCTTTCTATGCTATTTCATAATACTTTAGTTCATATTATAATAGGCAAGTTTTCATAACATTCATTTTGGTATTATGTGTTTTGGTTATGACACTACATATAGTCATAGATATGGGCTCGCTTCTTAATTTTTTTCTTTGTTTCGCTTCTTTCTTTCTCTTATGTCTTTCTTTCTTATCTTTTCTATCATCCGGCATCTTTCTGTGTGTATTAATACACATGCCTTGTTTCCTGTCTGTAAAGAAATTTTGTCCAGTAACATGTTTGTAATAAAGTTTGTGATGGTGACTTAGTGATCACGTGTCTGTCTACGTGACTGTCCGTTGTCCAGTGTCACATGGACATTCTAGAACTTTCTATTGTGCCCTCATCCTTTCGATCATATCAAGGTATTCTTGCACAATGTTCTGGAATGTTCCATTTCAGATACTATATATACCCCTCCTCGTCGCTGTATTTCTCAGTTGTTTTATCTTCCACTTCTCAGTCAGTTATTCTGTACAGTCAGATTTGTTAGTTATTCACGTGTGAATAAACAAGCTCTTCTAAATCCTGATTTCTGCTCGACATCGAACTCGGCTTGAAGACGTGACAAAGGTGAAGAAATATAGTCAGGTTTAGTTTTACAATCGGTGATTTCTGTTACAAATGGATAAGAAAAATTAACGTTTTTACATCAAAGTGCGTACCGCACTTGGTATTTCACCAACCATTATTCATGATGAATTAGCTACAGTCTTCGGCGATGAAGCTCCATCCTACGCGACTGTTGCAAGATGGGCTCAATTGTTCCGTGAAGGTCGAGAAAAGATCGAAGATGAAGCGCGACCAGGAAGACCAGTGACCGAGACGACTGATGAAAATATCGAACAAATTCGCGATGCTATTGACGGCGACCCTTATGTGACAATCGAGAAGCTGCAAGAAAACACTGGCCTGAGCATTGGAACAATCCACAAAATAATTGCGGATCATTTGAAACTCAAAGAACTTACCACTTGGTATATACCCAAACAACTGACCGCTTCCCAACGAGCTGAACGAGTTCAAATATGTAAAGAAAATCTAGCAAAATTCGAACAAGGAACATGGAGATTATGCGATGTGGTGAGGGGGACGAATCTTGGTTTTATCATAAACAAATTGGTCGAAAAGCATCGAATGCTGCTTGGGTGGCAACGGGAGATATCCCTCGCCGACAATTGTTCGACGTAGTCATTTTGCTTGCAGAACGTCGTTGTGCATTTTTTTAAGTCAATAGGCCCCGTTCTTATCCATCGTATCGAATCTAGGCAGACTGTCGACCACCAATATCACATAGAAAATTGTTTGCAGCCTCTCATCTACGAAATCAAGAGCCAAAGGTCTTCATCTGGAACACATGCTGTGAAAATTCACTATGACAATGCTAGACCGCATAGACATAGAGATATGATGGGTTATCTGCAATCAGAAGGAATCACGATAGTACTACATCCGCCAAATTCTCCAGATCTAGCACCTTGTGACTTCTGGTTATTCGGCTTGGTCAAAGAAAAAATAGGTGATCAAAGCGATTCCGACTCGTTACATCGTGCTGTGATAGATTACATGTACTCTTTCGATAAAAAAGAGTATAAAAAAACATTTGATAAATGGATCGAACGGATACAACTG